CAGTGGGAAGGAAAAACTCCCTTTTAACAGGAAGAAACCTCCAGCAGAACCAGGCTCAGGGAGGGGCGGGGCCATCTGCTGTGACCGGTTAGGAAGGAAAACAGGACAAAAACATGCTGTGGAAGAGTGCCAGAGATTAATAATAACTAATGAGTGAGTGAAACAGAAACACTCAGCAGCCTAGAAGTATTGCAGCATAACCAAGTGAGCATTAAGGGGCCACCTGATTCAGCCCTAACTATATGTTTTATCAAAATGAAAAGTTTTAATTCTAATCTTAAAAGTAGAGAGTGTGACTCTCTCCCGAATCCAAACTGGGTGCTGATTCCACAGTAGAGGGACCTGGAAGCTGAAGGCTCTACTTTTAAATACTCCAAGAACCACAAGTAAGCCTGCAGTCTTAGAGCAAAGTGCTTTCAGCACTCGTTCTTATATAGCGCTTATAGAAAAGTGAATATAATATAAGAACCAAGAACTTTTACTCCTGCACCATCGAGAGCGTTCTGACGGCAAACATCTGCACCTGGTTTGGGAACAGCACCAAGCACGACAGACGAGATCTGCAAAGAGTGGTGCGCTCGGCCGAACGCATCATTCATTCAGAGCTCCCTGACCTGCTGTCCATCTACACCAATGGGTGCAAGACCAAAGCTAGGAAGGTTATGATGGACCTCTCCCATCCCAACAATGGACTCTTCTCACTGTTGAGGTCTGGGAAGCGCTTCCGCTCCCTTAAGGCCGAAACAGAGAGAATGAGGAGGAGCTTCTTTCCCCAGGCTATTCGGGCTCTGAACCAGGTGTAGGACTGGACTCTCCCACACATCACATCACCACACGCACTCTGGTTTTTCTTTATGCACACTTCCTATAATTTATAATCTTTATAATTTCTTTCTGCTATTTGCACATTTTTTTACTGTAAATTCCTAAGTTAATTTGTAAATTTTTGTAGTAACCTGTAAATTGTAAATACTAAAACTTTTTTTCTGTCATTTAATGGTCGGGCATTGTACAGCTACAAGCATTTCACCCCCATGTCATACTGTGTATGGTTGTGTGTGTGTGACAAATAAAATTTGAATTTGAATTTGAACCTGTCCATTTGCTGTGTTATGCAAATTTGATAATGGTTACTTTATTAGCTAAGGTTATAAAGTAATTTCAGCCCCTTTCCATCCACAGGAGGATGGAGGAGTGAGACCTCAGTGAGTCAGACGCTGGTGCAGTTTACCACGCTAATTGCAACAAATTTCACCTAACAACATCCACTAACCTCCACTCGCAACCAGTCAGGGAATACACATTTTTCCCTAGCAACTGCAGGTTGCCAGTGCGTAGCTGACCAGTCTCTAGGCCTATGTGAGTGGGGCCCTAGCTGACCTTATCCACTTAAGACAGTAGTTTACTGTTTAGCATGCAATTCTTCTGTGTCAGTGGCCGTGATTGTTTTAAAGAAAAAGATGGATGACTTCGCTCCAGTTCCTCCCACTGTACAAAAATGAAGCTTATGGAAACTGCCACGTTGCATTTTTGGAGTCAGAGTCTGCTCAGTAGTTATTTGGGATGGATCGGTGGTGATTTTTCACTGGATCACGTTCCTGCACGCACACCTGCTCAGTGTGACCATGAACACGCCCCCAGCACGTGTACTTCACTCATAGTCATGATATTTCAATAGTTACTGTTTAGCTTTTCTTCATTATAGACAAAGAAATGGTATCAATTAGACACAGGCCACAGAGGTACTGTAAATATAAGATTTATATTAAATCTTTTTTTTGCCTTTTGATATTTTAAACATTTAAACTTTAAAAAAAAAACGCTGCATCCTCTGCTTGTTTAAGCTTTTCCCCTCAACTGTAAAACAAAGCATGTAAAAAAATGTTAAAATATTTCTAAAGGACAAACATAATCAGTGATTTCTTACTGTGTGACTGGACATTTTGGTTACTGAGTCAACCCAGATATGATGAATGTAATTCCCCCACATGCTGAGCTATCTCCGACTCCGTTTACAGTTTGTTTCTCAGAGGAGAGTCATGCTTTATTTGGCTCACATCACTGTTGTTCTTCTGTGCCAAGCTGATCGGCTGACTGCGCTCACATGAAGGGACGGTTTGTGTTTGCGATTGATTAGGCTCACAAAAAACGTATTGATAGGAGGAGAGTACTGTCAACATCTTATACAATGTGGGATTGTTTAAGTGACATCTGGTTTGTGCGATCTGTTTACTTCAGCACAAATACATGGATGTTTTAGTACAGAAGTTGGTTTATGATGATAAAAACAAAGCGCAGAGAACATTCTGTGATTATGTAAATGGATTTTGATCAATAAGAAGCATTAAAATTTACCAGAAAAGGACTGAACCATATCAAAACAGTCTCCCTGATTATATCACATATTTTTTGTTTTATGCCCAAACTTTTTGAAAGTTGCCAATATCACCGATCCAGCTGCTGTCACCCTCTTTGTGAGTGGTGGAGCCAATTGAGA